CTCCTCTTGGTCCTCGTTACAACCCAGAAAGTGAGGAGGGTGGATATGATGATCCCTCCTTTTAGGGTTATGGAAAACGAGACCCTGAAACCAAAGCAGTTTTGCCACAGACCCTAGTCTTGGGACTTCTGGTCAGTGCTCTTTCACAGCAAGCTGAGTGCCGGGGGTGGGGCAGGTGCGGGGCCCTCTGCCTGGGAGCCTAAGGGACCCACCCTTCTTCCCGCCCCTACGTGGACGGCCTGGCCAGAGGAGCTGCTTCCCACAGGCCCAGACTCCTGCCCCCAGTCCCAACAGCCCCGTGACTGAAGGACGATAGTCCTCTCCTCTGCCTCCTACCTGGCGCTTCCCGGAGCTCCTCCCTCTCCACTTTCCTCCTCCCTTTGGGTCTTGGCTCTCAGAAAAGCACAGACAGGAGGAGACTGCTGGGGGACTGGCTGTGCTGGGCCTCCCGCCTTTGCCCAGGGTATAGGCAGCAGCAAGATGGGGGAGTGTAGGCCGCAACTCTCAGGTGCCCTCACCTGTGCCCCGGCCCTCAGGCTCCAGGGCATCACCGGGATTGAGCTCCTCGATGAGGGGGTCTCCGTGCTCCCTGCGGATGACACTGCAGGAGGGAGACAGGCTTGTTCAGGTGGGACCCCCTGGGGGCCCAGAGGCCCACCTGCTCCATCTGTCCTTTGACCTGAATGCCCACAGAACTCTCTCTGCTCACAGACCTTGCCTGCACTCCAGTGGTTCCCTTCTTGTGTTTTAATTTATGTTGGTAAATATTGATTTTTCCTTCTCTAATGGATGAAATATAGACAGTCTAGGGAAGGGCAGTTGATGGATAGAGAAGGGCAGGGGCCCAACTACCTTCAGCTGACCTTCACTTTCTTCAAGTGGCCCTGGGTTTTCTAGTTCTGGATACTAGCCAGGGTTCAAGCTCTGAGCTGATGATCTCTCCTTTGTACCCTCCCTGACTATCCTGCTGGAAGCAATCCCTTCCTCCTCTGCCTTTATCGCCTTTGTGGCCTTTATCACTTCCTGCCTGTGTTCGCGTTCTGTATGAATGTATCTTATCTCCCCGGTTGGTCTGTGAGCCCTCTGCAGTCTGGGACCTTGTATTATTCATCTTAGCATCTTCCACGGCATCTAACACAGTGCCCAGCTCGCAGAAAGCACCAAGCCCATGTGTGCGGGATACAAAGGTGAATTCCAGAGGCAAACAGGAGGAAAGGCTTTTCTGTGGGTTGCAGGGCTTCTATTGTGAACGCTGAATCTTGGTCATATGTGTTTGTTTCAGAGACATCTGCTATCCAAATCTTGCCTTGTGGCCACATTAAGTTTACTGCTGGTGATGGTGTGTGCTTTACTCACTAACTTTTCCTGTTATTACATTCTTCCAGTCTGAGTGCTATGCCCTGACTGTGCAGAGGAAGGCGGGAAAAGCAGGCACAGGAGGAATCTGCATCTTCAACCTGCCACACGGTCTACTCAAAGCACAGAGAATCAAGAGGATTGGGATCTGGCCAGTGCTTTCAGAGGTGGTGACAAGGTCCCCTGATTTGGAACCTAGAGTGGCTGTAGGGCAGAGAGAACTGGCAGAACTGCAGGTGCCTGCAGGGTTGAGCAGATGCCCAGGAGGTGTTCTCTATCCACACAGGGCATTCATGCTGAGTACGTCCATGTATCTCTCGGTGGCACTCAGCACACCCAGCTGTGAACTTGTGTAGTATGCACGAGTGTGTCCACATCTGGTGGAGGTGTGATGCTTCAGCTTGCTGATGCCCATGGCTCCTTTGTCCATTTGTGTCACGGAAGTTCTGCCACAGCTGGGCAGACACCTCTTGATTCAGGTGACAAGCAATTAAGGTTCTTAAGGAGAAAACCAGCAGTTGCACAGTGTTCCTGTGTCCAGTGAACACATTCTTCAGGAGCAGCTCCCATGAGGTACTGCGAACATCAGTGGGGACGGAACTCAGAGCCATGTTAACAGGGGGCCACCATGCGCAGGTTGAAGGCTGGCAGGGGGAGCATGGAGCTGGGAGAGCTCACCCAGAGGGGGCGCAGTCAGAGGCAGGCTGGCTGAGTAGAGGCCTGCATAGTGGGGAACAGGGCCACTCAGATTAAGAAGAAGCACAGGGCCTAGAGAGTGTGGTCGGCGTACATGTCCAAGCCCAACAGAGCCCAGCTGAAAGAAGCTTTGGTGCCTGGTGATTGGGTATAAATGGGCAAGTGGAGAGTGAAGAGGCGAGGGACCTTATCCGAAAGCAGTAGGGAGCTTCCAAAGGGTGGTAAGTAGAAGACGGGTGTATGCAGATTTGCATTTCCACAGCTTGCTCTGCAGGACTAAAAACTGACGAAGGAAGAGGAGCTGGGGGTGGGTACAAGAATCCTCCAGAGAGACCAGGGAATGGTGTAGGGGGAAGAGTTGAAAACAGACCAGAGGCATGTTTAGATGCAGAAGTGGGGGACCATGCACACGCCAGCAGGCCTGGGAGAGTTCCTGTTATGACTGCTGTCTTGCCATAGTTATTAACAGTGCCTCTTTCAATTTGGTTTGGGTCTAGTTTGGTGGAGGAATTGCCCATTTAGGGCAATATCATCAAAAGACTCACAGACTCAAGCACATGAAGCTTTGGGTTCCCAGTGTCTGGCTATACGGTAAGACAGTGCTGGGCTGAAGGAACACACACTATTTTGATGCTCTGTTCAGCACCAGGTGAACAGCCTGCATGGTGTGGGACAGGTGGGGGTTAACTTTCAGAGCTGCCAGCTGAGCAGTGTCCCAGCTGTAGCCCCTGAGCTATGTGCTCAGGACCCAACCATCTGCCACAGGGACTTGGGGTCCAGCCACGTGCTTAGGAGGTGGCTTTTACTGCCTCTGAGTAGAGGCAGACATATTACCCCACTGGGTGACCACATGGTGACTAGCCATGTTCGGCAGCAGAAGAGGCTTGGAGGTTGGCAGCACACTGAGGGATGGAGGGGCGGAAAGGGGAGGTGACTGGGTTCTCAGGCCACAGAGACCAGAGCCCTGGACTCCTAGGTGCTCTGGGGCCCTAGCAAGTGACACTTTATTAGCCAGAGAAGGAAAGCAGTGTCTCTGTTAACGAGCAATTGATCTTCTACAATTAATCTGGAAGTTGTGAATAAGCTTTTCGCAAGGAACCTAATTAGTAAATCTGGTGCCTTTGGGGGTTATTACATCCAGTCAGGATTGATGCTTGGTTAATAATTACATTTTAAAACATGCTTAGTCACAGCTCACACCTTTTAATAATAGTTGGACCTTCTTGAGAGAGGGGGTAGGGACCTCCGGGGGCCAAGCGGGTGACCTGACCCATTTCCTGGCTCTAAGATCTTTGGCTGCCCCCCATCCCCTAACCTGGCCCTGAGTCCCATTAGTATACTTTAGGGCCAGAACGGTGATAACTCCAGTCACGAGTCCTGAGGTTTCTTCCCAGCCATGTTTTTCACTAGTGTGATAAGAATCATCTGGTGCCTGATCCCCTTATTAGAAATACAGGGCTGGGGATTTAGCTCAGTGGTTCCACCGCCTGCCTCCCATGCACAAGGTTCTGAGTTTGATCCCATACTAAAAAAAACCAAAACAGAAATACAGATTTCTGCATCCCTTCCCCATTCTGACCCCGGAGATCTGGGGTGGGTCTTGGGATTGTGAACTCTAAATAGGAACCCTGAGTGATTTTGATGCTAATGGTCTCTGGCCCATCTGGGGAGAAATGTCACCTCTGAAATTCTAATTTTTTTCCAGACACTATGCTCAGGGGATGGCTGATACCTTGGATTCTGAAACTCCCTTTTCTTTCTCTACCATGCTGTTTCTTCCCCAGTGTTTCGTTAAGGATGTTCTGCAGAGAACCAATCCTGAGAGAAAAGCCTTTGAAAGATATGTTCTGCGGTCAAATCTACTTGGAACACTCCATCCATCTTTTAGAAAGTTGAAATACTTGTGGTCTTGTTACAGGCTCCAGAAATCTGTGGTAAATAAACCTGCCTCTCTGCTTAACCCAGGTTCACTCAAAGACTTGACCCTTCAGACTTTTGTGGCAGTGGGGGTTTGTATCTCATGGAGCTGGAGGTTGAGGCTCACTCCGGGCCATGTTCTGGTGACAGCCCAGTACGCTTCCTCCATCCTGCAGCCTTTTGCTCAGCCTCTGGCCTCCCCGGCTTTCTGTTTCTTCTGTTCCTTCCTTCCCTGGGCCCTCACTCTTTGGCCTTGCAACCCTCTCCTCTGACTCCTAACCCCCAGCTCCCAGCTGTTAGGCTGCACGGCATACCGGAAAAGGCGGTTGGCTGAGGAACTGCGATAGGCGATGTTGTTGAAGAAGATCTCCAGCTCCTGGTCATTGTCAAAGTCAGCAGCAATGACAGTGCGAACAGGGGAGGGCGTGGCGAACTTGGGTGAGGCAATGTCCTGGAGAAGAAAGGGCTGTGGGTGAGCACACAGGAGAGTGGGATTGGGCATGCGGCCACCCCCTCCATTGTGTGTATGGACACAAAGCCAAGAGACCCACGCCTCCTTTCTCACCCCCCACACGAGGGACCTACGTGGCTGCCTGTAGGATATGAGCCTCAGGTTGCTTGGAGGAAAACAAGGAGGCAGAACAAGTCACAGCTCACACCGGTGAGCACTTAGTTGTCTCCAGTCTGGGCCACACTTAACCCTCCCAACAGTCCCTCGAGCAGCTTGGCCATTAGCGTTGCCGTTTTATAGGTGAGGTAACTGAGTCCTCAAGGGAAAGGGAATTGCCCATAGTCATGGCGATCACTGGGGCTGGAGCTGGGGCTTCCGATTCTGGGTGTGGTGCCCTTTCTGCTGTATCTCCTTCCTCTGTGGCGAGTTGGAAGCTAGAAAGGCATCAGAAACTGCATTTGAATCTAGGCTCCATCACTGACTAGCTGTGTGAACTTAGGCAAGTTATTCAAGTTCTCATATCTCATTAGTGACATGATGCAGGGCTGCTCTGCTGGCCACAGGAAGGGGCCAGACTGGGTTAGTCGGTGAGCTGACCAGGGAGGTCAGGGAGAGAAACTGTCTTCCTCAGCACAGCACTGAGCTGGTGAGGGGCTTGGTCAGATGGTCAGGGTGGGCTGAGCAGGGCCTTCAGGGCTGAGGAACAAGGAGGCCTCCCAATCTCTAACTCATTACTGTTCTATCGATCCTATGAAAATGGAAACCTACACAGCCCCCTTGGGATTGCCCCCACTGAACGTCTGGGCTTCGGAGATAATGTATGTAAAGCTCTTAGCACGGTTCCTGGCACATGGGAGGCACTTGACAAATTGGGCACTTAATACTATGCTGTTGACTGTTCCTGTGAGTTCTGCGAGCGGCCCTCAGAAGGTTAAGAGGTTCTTTAACCTCAGCACACTGACAGGGCCGGATGATTCTTTTCTGTGAAGCTGCCCTGTGAACTGAAAGAGATTCAGCAGCATCTTTGGCCTCTATTCTCTGGATGGCAGTGATAACCAAAAATGTTCCCAGAGACTGTCACATGTCCTGGGGCAGGAGGGCAACATCGTCTTCATTGAGAACCTGGGTTAGAAGGACAGCTGAATAAAGATGGGTGTCATCCTAGACCCCAGGATCTACAGCTCTGATTTCAGGACATGCCTCCTCTTTCCCCAGACAGCTTGGGTCTCAAGCCTCTCCGGGAAGGTGCCCAAGGTGGCTCCTAAAGGGCAGGAGCTTGTAGTGGGGACTCTCCATGGTCACAAAACTTTAAGAACCCTGTAGACTTCCCTGGGCACATGGAACAACTGGAACTTTCTCATTCCATTAGGTGTTCTTGGCCAGACCGAGGTGCCTTCAGAATAACTGGCTCCCCAATATCAGCTTCAGTGATCCATGCCCTCTTTTGCACTCCCTGGGAAAGGCCCAACACAAGCTTCTCATGCTGGCAGTACTTCCTTTAATGCCATCCAACAGTCCCTTTGAGGAATTCTCAGCATCACAGTCTATTGACAACCCAGGAAGAGGACGCGAGAAGGGTCCACTGTGCCCACCATCTTTTTGTCTTTAGTGGCAGCCCTGGGAACTCTGGGCTTCTGCTGCCCCTCTTTCTTATCACTCTACCCTGGATTGGAACCTCAGTTTGGAGAGCACAGGCTGCAGCTACAGGTCAGGTCTTCTAGGCACCTCGGGAAACCCTGGCCTCTATCCAGAGATTGATGCACAGGCTGAGGCTCCAGCCACCATGGGGGCCGTTCTTCCGTGGCGCCCACGCGGCTCTCTCCTCGGGGCCTAGGAATCTCCACAAAACCCAGGTCGTCTGCAGTGCATTGTCTCCTACATGTCATCTTCACTGTGACCTGTCCCAAGCTCTGAAGAGCCATGAGCTCCTCAGGCCTGGCAGCAAGGGGAAGGAAGGAAGGAAGGAGGGAAGGAGGCTCCTCTTACCCGGAAGCGGACCTTCCCATGGGCGCTCATCTGCAGGTAGAGGCGGTGGGGGCCGTTCCAGTTGCCATAGACGATGTCCACTTTGCCATCACGGTTGAAGTCAGCCAGAGCAACACCTCGCCCATGCTGGTGGGGGTCATCCACACCTGCAGGGAGAGGCGGGAGCTTCAGTGTGGTGTCCCTGAATATTCCACACTCACCCTGAGCAATAAAGGAAGGTAACCCTTGTACCGTCCCTCCCTCCTAGGAGACAGGAAGACACAGCTGTGTCTCACAAGCTCTCCAACAAGGCAGAAGGTGACACAGCCATCTGCTAGCAAAGGGGACTAGAGACCTGTCTTCAGGCTGTTTGCTCAGCAGATATGCTATACTCTGTTTGGAAAAGCATGGGTCGGGGAAGGAAAGTGGAAATTCTCCTTGGTGGACCAAATCGTTACCTAGCCATTCCAACATGGCCTGAGAGACATTGGAAACATATCACTCTTTTGCTTAAATCTCTCAAAAGGGCTCCCCAGTACTCTTGAGTCAAGTTCAGATTTCTGCCCAGGAATCACAAGGCCCTTCTTGCCTACCTTTCCACTTGTCTCTTACTCACTGAGCTCTGGCTACTCATGTTTTTTCCACATCCCAAATGAACCAAGTTCTTTCCAACTTCTGGGCCTTTGCTCAAGCTAGACTCCCCCTGGGATGCTTCCCAGGCCCACAGTTATCTCGCTCCCTGTTTTTCTGTTCTCAGTCACATCACCTCCTTTGGGAAGCCTTCCCCAGTGCCCTCATCTACCTAGCTCCTCCCACCCATCTTGCCAACCTCCCTCTCTTCCTTCACAGTACTGATCACAAGGTGCTTTCAAGTCCCTTTTTGTTTCACTTGGTTGGAGACCAGTATTACTGCAAGACCTATGCTCTGTGAGGTCGGAACTACTTTCTTGGTTCTCCTGTGTGCATTCAGGGGCTGCCTCAGTCTGCAGCTGCCTGGGAGTTTTCACTAAGTACTTGCTGAATGAATGAAGAGACATAAATAATTTGACAGCAGGCAAACTGGGGATGCTGGTGACAGCAGAGGAAATACTGCAGCTGTGATGAAGAAACCAGAGCATGCCTTGTGAAAACCTCTGCCCACTGTTGCCTGCCTACCATTTACCAGTGGGCTGGCCCAGGGGGAGGGTGGAGGGTGGCTCTGCTGAGTGCTGGCCTGACCTCCTGGCTGCCAGAGGCAGGCCCTCTCCTCCGGCCAAGTGCAGAGCTGGGGAAAGCTGACTCTTCCAGACAACAAATAGCTGGAGGTCAACAGGCCCTCAGGCAGCAGGCAATAGGACAGTATAATGGGAGTGGCAGTCACAGCTGCAAACAAAGAGATCCTGAGGGTGAGAGTCAGGAGAAAGCAGAAGTTGGGCCTCCCCAGAAGCCTGAAGGCTGGGGGTCCTGTGGGGTGGAAGACCCTGGGGGTTGGGCTGCCATGTGAGAAGAGGCAACGAGACCCACACTTGAGAAAGAAGGTTTGCAAAGCACCTGGGCAGCCTCCAATCCCTAGGATTAATACCCCATTAGTTCTCAGCAAACCTCCCCAGCCAAAGTGTCGGTGGCCTTCTGTGCCGGCCCATTTCTCTCCTATCTGTGAGGTGCCTTGACAAGGATCTGGTTCCCTTTCACAGGACTAATCTATGCCAAACTGCCTTTCCCAGCAGCATCTGTTTGGGTGACGAATGCCCTCTTGACATGTCTTGTTAAGCCCCTGCAATCATTCTGACTTTCAATTACGGGCCTAGCACCTTGCTTTTCTTCCGCCAATGCCTTCTCTCTCTCCACCTTGTTTGCTCACCTCTGATTCCGGCTCTGTAACATCTCATCACAACCCCTAGGCTCCTCCACTACCCCTTCCCATTGCTTTATGATTTTTCAGCAGGCAAGAGTGCTTGCTGCCAAGTATAGCACCAGGAGAGGCCAGCCAGGCAGGTGGGCAGCCCATCTTCAGCTCTGCCAGAGAAGATGTAAAGCAGGGCTCCAGGCTACACTCTGGGGGCAGGTGGGTGTTCGGGACAGTAGTTTCCCCAAATGGAGCTCCTGAGCAGGAAGCTGCAGGAGTAGATACTCTTGGGTCAGAAAATGGATCAGCACATGCTCAGGGATTGGAAGCCAGCTGTCAGCAACAGCTGAAGCTGGTGGGGCCTTTGACCTAAGGGTCTAGATCCCCTGTCACCTCTTCCCTCTGTGTCCAGGAAGGAGGTGAAATTGTTCTCTCCCTACTCATTTCTTCTGTACCTGCCATTTGTTGGCAAGGCGGGGATGAAATGGGCAGAGAGAGGAAGTTGAGAGCAGACTGATTGTATCCATCAAATTTTTAAAAATTTTTAATTTTAATTTTAATTTTTTGGTACTGGGGATTGAACTCAGGCCCTTGCGCTTGTGAGGCAGGTGGCCGCACCACTGAGCTAAATCCCCGGCCTGTATCCATCAACTTTCAGGTGTTCATTCTGTTATTTAGCAAACTTTACTGGGTAAGCATTGGGTACCAAGCACCATGTCAAGAATGAATAGAACAGTGTCCCAGTCCTTGTAGAGCTCACAGACCAATCACGATGGTGATGTAGAAGCCCGAGTGAGAGGTTCATGTTCACATAGAGGAGGAAGGGCCAATCTCTGCCAAGCAGCGCAGAGGGAGTCAGGAAACAACTCATGGAGGTGACCTTTGAGCTGAGTGTTAAAGGATACATAGAAATTTTGTGAACAGATAAGATAGAGGGCTGTGCTGCTGAGGAAATAGCGGGTACAAAGTTGATGGGGGTGAGCACAAAGGGAGGAAGGACAGCAGAGCTGGGAGTCAGGGGCCCTATTTTATGTGGGTTTTACCCTGCTTCTTACAGCTATTGGTGTACATGTTTGTTTCTAGCAGGTCTGCATTTTCTATATGTGGGATGATCTTCATCTCATTTATGTCAGCATCCTCAGCTCCTAGCACAAACCTGGCACTTGGCAAAAGTTTCATAAATGATCATGGGATTGAATTCAATGTTTAAGGTAAATGAGGGTGGGGCCAACATTGCAAGAGACAGCTTGGAGGGGAAATTGATGTTGGGAGACAAGCAGGACTCAGAGGCTCGCAGACCAATGCCAGTGGCTAGAAAATGATAATGGTCAGGAGTCTCTGATTCCTTTTCTCTGTGGTCTGAGTATGAGTGTGTGTGCGTATAGCTGGAGGTGAAAGCATCATCTGACAAGTGACAAGTGATCTTGCTAAGGTCGAGAGCAAGACAGCCTGGACCCCTGGGGTGGGGACATAAGGGGCACAGGACAGGGCTGCACTTACTCACCGGCACTGGCTGCAGCATCTACAAAGGTGCCGTTGCCCTGGTTGTGGAAGAGGAAGTTGGGCCCATTCTCGTTGTCACAGAAGATGTCTGAGGCACTACTGCTGAGGATAGGGCCCACGCTGACACCTCGGCCCCCTAGGAGAGGACATGGACCCACAGTGAGTGACAGAAGCGAATCCCCAGGCCCAGCTGGAGGATGGACCTGCTTCTATAGTCTCTGAGAAGCTGCAATAGAGGTACCTCAGAAGAACCCTGGGGGTAAGTGTGGCCTTCTGGGTGCTTCCTTGAGCCAATCCTGGGCTCACAGTCTCCATAAATCTGATGTCACTGAGGCCGAGGCCAGGGAGGAGCAACACTGAATCACTTTGTGCCACAGGAGTGATGCCAGGTACCAAGGAACATAGAAGGCTTGGCTCTTGCCTCATATGTCAGTACATTTCCCTTCTAAGAGAAGTTAAATTACAGTAGCCCAGTTCTATCCACACTATTTTGGTCAAGTCACAGGTCCTGGACAGCCCCCACTCCCACTCGGAGGCCCACATACAAAAATAAGTTCTGGCTATAGGTACCAGCTGTAGGTAGCAGCTACAGGTACTAGGATGTTCATTTTGCTTTTGTTTGACACAGTAAGCAATTATGTCCATTGATAGCAAACTGGTTGAATGGATTACATTGAATCCATATGGTAGATCATTCTGCAGCTCCTAAAAAGACTGCATAGATCCATATGTATCAACTTGGAGGACTGCCCATGATATATTGTTAAAAGAAAAAAAAAATCTGTCAAGTAATGGTATTGTGTGATATTACTTTTATTAAAAGATATGAAAACACACAACATTTCTGAATACACATGTTTGTGCAAGCTTGTTTGGGTTTGGAGAAAGATGGGGAAGGCCACACACCAGGTTGTTCATACTGGCCACACTGGTGGCATAGTACTGGGGAGAGAAGGAAAGATGGTAGTTGGCCTTTTCTTTGAATGTCTTTGTATTATTTTGCTTGTCGCAGTAAGAATTGCTTTTGTAGCTTCAAAAAAAAAAATCCTACTTTTTTTTTTAAAAAGGAAGAAATCAAGCTAAGTCTATGTTAGGCTTTGAAGTCTCGAAGGTCAAATTTAAACTACACATGTTAAAAAGTTCCACCTTAATATGTCCCGAGTAACCAGAAGGTTTTTAGAGGAAGTTTCTGCTTGCCAAGCTTTACCTGCTCCGCACCTCCAAATGCTGAAACTACCCTACAGCTGGAACCTCCTGACCAGGATAAGATAGGGATTCCAATCCCAGCTTGGCTTCTTACAAGCTGTGGGAACTTGTGCAGCTTATATTACCCTTTAAGTTTCAGTTTCTTCATCTGTAAATTAGAGATGGTCTCACCTGCCTTTTCTACTTTGAGGTTTTTGAAAGAATCAAAAGAGATGAGATATACCTGTTTTAATGGGAATTATCAAAAAGATGAAAGATTACAAGTGTCCACAGGCTATGGAGGGACAGGAGCCCTGTACACTGCTAGTGGGAAGGTAGATTGGTATAGTCACTATGGAAAACAATATGGAGGTTCCGTGAAAAATTAAAAATAGAACTACCATATGATCCAGCAATTCCATTACCGAGTAAATAGCAAAAGAAAGTGAAATCTCAATATGCTAAAGAGACCTCTACATTCCCATGTTCACTGCAGCGTTATTCACTGCAGCCAACCTATGGAACAGATGAATGAATAAGGAAAATGTGGCATATTTACACTCTAAAGTATTATTCAGCCTTACGGAAGAAGAAAATCCTGTCATTTATGATTATAGGGATGAACTTGGAGGACATTATGCTGTGTGACATAAGCCAGGCACAGAAGCCAAATATGCATGATCCCATTCACATGGGAATCACAGAAGCAGAGAGTAGAATGGTGATTACCATGGCCGGGGAGGAGGGATGTTGGTTAAAGGGCACAAAAGTTAAACAGGAAGATTAAGTTCAAGAGATCTGCTGTACACCATGGTGACTATAGTTAGTAATGATGTGCAGTACACTTGAACTTGCTAAGACAGTACTGTAGATTTTAAGAGACCTCATAGCAAATAAGTGATAAACATGTGAAATAATGCAAATATTAATTAGATAGAGTTAGTCATTCCACAATGTATACATAGATCAAAACATCACACATTTCGTGATAAACATATACACTTTTTAGATGTTAATTGAAAAAATGAGCTGAGAGAGATGAAAGGGCTTTGTAGACAGACTCTCCAAGCAGGAGTCAGGCCTGTGCAACAGCAGCAGGAATGGCACCCAGAGCTTGTTGGAAACACAGACTCTCAGGCTCTATGGAGTTAGAACCTGCATCCTAACAAGACCCCTGAGTGATCTGTGTGCACACTAACGTTTGAAACATATTGCTCCAAAAATCTACTTAGCATAACAAGAATAGCTCTAACAGCATTCCAGAAATTATTATTATTTTAATAAATGAGAGATTAGGCAGAGCTGTGTGATGATGGGCCAGGCTCCCTACCACCTACCTCTGGATGGGGCAGGGTTTTCCCCAAAGTGACTGTGCTAATTTGAGAAAAGCATTTGCCTAGGCTCCTCCCATCCTGAAAGACACCACAGGGAGAAGTCATGGGGCACCCAAGGAGACAGGGTGGGGCAAAAGGTATTACCATTCTTAATGTTCCCAGGGTTGGACTCCTTCTTAACATCCTCTGGGCCTTTGCGTCTGGGCTTCCTCCCAGATAATCTGATTCGCTCTCAAGGACAGTCCAACTCTCAGGAAGATGGAACCTCGAAATCCACATTGCTACTAGTGATCGCCCTCCAACACCACATCTGCTCTCATCCATGAAAAGGGGTGAGGTGGCCTTTCTAAAACCAGCTGGAAGGGTGCTGAACCATAACTCGGGCACCTCCTCTGCTCAATAAAACAGGAGCTCCTAAGTGGCCGTTGGTAGCCGAACCTGCCCTGGTCCTGTAGATCTCAGCCCATGAGTAGGATCCCATGAGAAGCCCCTGGCCTAGCCCAGACCCCTGGGAATTCCGAGTGGGATCTAGGATCTGCTACCATGCCATTCTGTCCTTCTTCTCCACTCTGGCATCTTCCAATTTCCTCTCTGCCTCTGGCTCCCAAGCTGTGACACATTCCCTTCATTTTCTACAAAGCAGGTTATTTCCCTTTTGGACAAATTTCTAAATCTTTCTAATTAACTAATTGGGCTGGGTTGAAGCCTTGCACCATTTGTAACCTGTAATTACTAGAAAATTGCCATGGTAACCACACTACTAATTAGTGACAATTTATTGCCATGGTAACCGGACCATAACAGAGATGTTACCCACAACTTCTTGGCAAGTTGGCTGCACAGTCGGGGAGCAGGTGAGTTGACAGTCAGGGAGCCAGCTTCTTGGGCACCAGCACCAGCAGTCTTAGGATGGGGTCCAAGCTGGGGTCTGAGCTCTCCACTGATGCCTTGGGTGAACTCTACTCCCAGACTGACATGTAAGTCCTCTTCAAACCAGTGAAACCCAACACTGTAAGTGTAGCCTGAATGCCTCCTCCGGCTCACCAATGACAAAGGCACCAGCAAGTTTCTTCCATCAGGACCTTTTCCCCCTTCTTCTTCCTCCTTTGTCGCATCTGCCCTTTCCTCCTTCTCCTGAGGTTAGGACACATCATATGGAGCCAGGCAGGGGGCTGTTAGAGACATCTTCATTTAGTCTTACAGAATGATGTTCTAGCAGGGATGCCACTTTATATCAATTAATTCTTATATTTGAGGCTAGCACATTCTCTCAGGGAAAGACAGTTCCCCAGGTAAGAGGCCATACTGGTGGTGGGCCAGACCTCAGGTTGTGGGATAAGTAAGTCCGAGCTTGAGCTGTGTGACATTGGGCACATCGCTTAACCTTACTGGGTTTTTGTCTTTTCATTTATGGCATAAGGCTGGCAAGAATAATAGCTGCTTTTCAGGGCTGTCATAAATAGTGAGATGGTTTTTGGAAGGTACTTTGGAAAATGTCAGGTGCCACATAGTCATTAGTTGGGACTATTTACCACCTGCTGTGTGAATAATACTGGTATCACTTTTCCCCCAGCACTTTCAAGCTTCAAAGACCTTCTTGTTAGGCGGTTGGGCTTTGAATGCTTCTCCCTACTTATTCCTTCCAAGGACTTCTGCTGGGTGAGAGGGTGGAGTTGGAGGAGACGTAACCCCACCCTAATGCCCTCACTTCCTCCTGCCACACTGCAGCTCTCCTTCTGAAAATCTGTGAACTGGCCCAAGCCCCACAGGGGAGGCTTGGTTGCCCTTAAGAACCTCACCCCCAGACCTATGAACAGACACTTTGGCAATACAAACTCAAGTATGGTTCAAGGGTGATGATCTCTCTCTCACTCTATGTGCACCAGCTCTCAGGCCAGCTGTGGGTGAGGGATGGAAAAATTATAGGGTAGGGCGTGCACTGCTGGACTATTCCAAACTGTAGTCTTGGTGGTCAGGGACAAAACAGCACAGAGTTCATAGTGCTATGAAAGGCCTTTCAGTTCTCACCTTATCTCTGCCTCTCTCTGGCTGCAGTAACCTGGAAAGTGTGTCCATCAGGCCTCAGTCCCTGCCCTGAGAAATGGATGGGAGAATAAGATCTCTGGGGCTCCTTCTGGTTTTACCGGTCAATTCACGCAGCCTCCAGGGAGATGCAGGAGTAGGGTGCTGAGAGCTGTTTCCTGCACCTTCTGTCCTGTCAGCTAAGGATCTTGGATGCATGGCAATGATGCGCTGAAATCTTGATGGAAATAGGATGCTGGCGGACATCAAAGTCCATGGGCTATCAGGATATTGTAAAAGAGTTGGGCTTAGATACTGGGAGCTGCAAGGTAGATGAAGGGCACTGCAGTATGAGCAGCTGTGTGTTGGAGAACGTGGCGTGAGGGTAAAGGGCAGGATGGTAACAGTGTCTCCCCTCTAAATTTCCTGAAATTTCTGAAAGAGAAGGAGCATGTCTGTGTCGTGCCTTGGTGACCCTACAGATGCTGGTCAGACTGCTTCCACTCCTCCTGGTCCTTCCTGGCCTGTCCTCACCTCTCATCCTGTCTCTGCAAGGACAGCCTCCATCAGTTGTCCCCGGGTGGGAGACTTTCAAACCGTGGCTTCCTGGTGGTGCAGGAGGAGGGTCCCTGCCCCCCCACCACGCCCACTTCCGGCAGTGAGGAGCATGAAGAAGCTATTTACGGAAAGGGCGGCAGGGAGAGTTCCTGTAGTACCGATGGCTCGGTCCCTGTGCCGGCATTGTGCACAGGCAGCTCACGTCAGTCTCATGACGCCTCAAGATGTGTCTGTCACCACCACTTTCCTTCTTTCTGTGTTTAACGGAGAAATTAAAGACTGCACGTATTTACAGTGCAATGACATGTTTTGAAGCATGTATACATGGTGAAATGGCTAAATTGAGCTAATTAACATATTCATCACCTCTCATACTTATGATTTTTGTGGTGAGAATGCTGAAAATCTATCCTGTTGGCATTTTGCAAGAATGCACTGCGTTGTTACTAACTGTAGTCCCCATGTTGTACACTGGGTGTCTAAACTTATTCCTCTGGTCTAACTGAAATATTGAGTCCTTTGATCATCATCTCCTCAACTTCTAACTCCCATTATCACCATTTTCTAGGTGAGGAAACTGAAGCTCATGGAGGAACAATCACAGCCAATGTGCAGCGCAATTCAAATCATGAACTATTCTCTCCACTCTGTTTCTCAATGTTTCTGCTAAAGTCTTCTCTCTACAGGGTAGGATTCGTATTGGCATGCAGAATGGCCAGCCACAGGCTTGATGTTTCTTTAAAATCTCTTGTGATAGCTGAGAAAAATGCATACAAAATTTATATTTTTATTCTACAATATATCTGTGTTTTAAAAGAAAAATAACACCCCCTCTTGACAATCACTGAATGCATCTGATACTCCAGGGAAGTGGTGGTCCTTGTGTATGCTGGGTTTTGTGGACCCCTGGCAGGCCTGGAAGAGGAGCCTGTTCCTCCAGCCGTGCCTGGTCCTGGCCTCAGACCTAGCTGTCGCTCTGCTGAAAGGCCATCACTGCTGTCTGAGAACCTGGGAGGCTCCACAGCCCCGCCCTGCAGCCCTCAGTCGCGTCGCTGATGGGGATCTGCCAGCAGGCCTCAGCTGGGCTTTAGGCCTCTCCGTCTCCTCCAATAATGACTTCCTATAAATCAGATCTGCCCTCCGCTTTGTTCCACACTGCTCCCAGCCAACAGCAAAACTCCCCACCCGGCATCATAAATCCACCTTCATTTTCTTTCCAAATTTCTTTTAAGGCTTCTTTAATCACCACCTTGCAGCCCCGGCAGATGCTCCCTCAAAGGGTGAGATTGTGGGGATGGATGAAGCCTAGGACAGACTGGGTCCAGTGGGAAGAAGGGTAGAGTGCTGGACTCCAGGGACAAGGATGCCATGCTGTGCCCACGCTGAGCACACAGAGTGCCTCCAGGACAGGGCTGGGCCGGCTCCCTTTGTGCACCCCTAGTGCTGCCCAGTAGAGGGCCTGCGTATGGGCATCTGCTATACAGGGCAGGCACTGCCCGCGCACCAGGCCATGTGCAGGCATGCCCCATATTCTCTCCTTTCATTCCTCAACATCCCCTCTGTGTGAATGAGAAGGCAGCAGCTGGGAAAGTTGGCACTGCCCATGGCTGGAGGGGTATGGTGGAGCAGCATCTGCACGTGGCAGCCTGCTCCCGTCACTGCCCCTTTACCTGCTCTGCAAGCCAGGTTGTTCAGGGCATTGAGAGGCTGAGGGATGTGCTCGAAGTCACCAGGCACAGAGCCAGTGCAGGACTCTTGGCTCTTTCTTTCCTCCTGGGGTTTCATGCCAGGGTCCTACCATGGTGGAACCAGTTCTCAGGACTCCCATACAGGGCAGTTCCTGGCATGGTCCTGGCTCCAAAAAGCTTTTGGCAGTTGGAGACGTTGGGGCTTGGGATTCTAGGGAGTCAAGGCAGGGGGCAGTCTTCCTATTCCCCCTGTGGGCACCAGTGAGGCTCTCGAGTCCCCCCCCAGAGCAGGCATGGTGGCCGCTAGATGGCACTGTGACCCAGCAGAGCGGTGGTAGCCACTGGCATCCATAGTGTTTGGAGAGGCTCCCCTCCCCATCCCGCAGAGCGGTATAGCCAATGCAGGACAGCAATGCCTTGCAGTCTCTATGGTGGCATGGCCTCCTCCTGATGCTCTGAGTACCCCAGGCCACGCAGCTGCATTAGTCCTACAACCTGGGACTACAGTTAAAAGCCTGAGTGCCCACGCTTGGGGCTGCACTGCCAGTGGGTGTGGGGCCTTTCTGTCACCAGCCTGGAGGGGGATTCTCAAGGTGGAAGCCAGCTGGTGATAGCAGCCTGAAAAGCCAGTTGGTTATAGCAGGTTAGGCTTCAGGAGGTAGGGCCCTACATGCTAGTTTTCTACAATCTCCTAAGTGACCTTGTGCAGGTCCCTTCTCTTCTCTGGACCTTGATGTGATACTCTGGAAAATAGGAGGTTCCTCCAGATCATAGACTGTTCAACAGACAGCTGTTGTGAAGGCCTCAACTCCCTGAGTGCACACCTGCCAAGGGTTTGCTTCTTTTAGCCTGCTTAGGCCCTGAATATCCTTGCCTGCTTCCCTCCCAGCTTTCTAAGCGCCCTGGCACTGGCCCGGCCCTGAGCACTGGCCACCTGCCCACAGTCTCAGCCATCATGCTGGGCTCAGCATGGCAGCCCTTACATTCGGGGCCCATTCCTGGGTCTCAAGGGGGCACTCAGGGCTGGTTTTCCAGCCAGATGTCCATGTGTCATTAGCCAATGGATGGGGGGCCGGGTTCTGCAAGGTACTGTTGGGGGGCTGGCAGACAGAAAGAATGGGCTGGGGAAGGTGGGTAGACAGAACAGTAACTCGGTGGGCCAAATAGGTTCTTCTTGGCCAAATGGCTTTAGGAAGTCTACAGAGTTGCTCTGATGCGTCCTCTGGGCATGCCAGCTGCCCCAGCTTCCTCTATCCCTCCACAGAAGCTGCTGTCCCTCCTTGGGCTGCCTGGTCCTTCCAGCACAGCCCAGCACAGTTGGCTGGTGCTCCTATCCCATCCCTACTCTTCAGTGGGCTCTGCCTGGTCTTTCTCTCCCCGTCCTGGGTTGGGTGCCAGCCCAGCCAGTGTGAACAATGCCCCCTTCATGCTCAAATAGCCCAATTCTTCCATTCTGTACAACCCACTCTCCCAGTCCTTGCCTCCTTTCCATCTCATCATTTCAACCACTTCATTCCCCAGCCCCCCCCCTTCCTCCTGCAAGATCAAGGCACTTAATTGCAAAGCCAGCCTAGTGCACAGAACTTGGAGCTACTCAGAAAAATTGACTGTACCAATCTAGGCTGAAGCGCCTGCATGTTTATTCCTTTCACAGGGAAACGTGGTTTATTACTGACACTCAGCCTTTCCGAGGTACATTTGTGCATAGAGCTCTCAGGCACTTTGATGGGGCTTGAGCTGTGCAAACTGTTTTACTGTCTACTCATTTGTCCCCACAAACTTTGTCAGGCAAGTCAGCATTAATCTCTGCTTTTCACCAAGGTGGAGAGTTGGCCAGAGAAGGGCATTATACACTGCACGGGGGCGGGGACAACATTTTCTGGGTAGGACTTAAGAGATTTTGCTACCGACCACGTGTCTGGAGACAGAAGGATGGCCCAAATACCCCTCAAGTATCCTCCCAACAGCTGGAATAAGGATTCAGGCCACCTGCTGCTTTGGAAGTCTCTGTAGGAACAAGTTGGGGTCGATATATGTGGAGGTCAACCAACCAAATACAGTGGATTCTCAAGTTATGACCGGCCTGACATATAACAACATGGGTTAATTAGGTTAATGGAAGATTCATCTGCCTCTTGTTATCTACAGTGTGTACCCAGGTGTCATCCAGATGTCAGCTGTACTGACTTATGACCAACCATCCCTTGGGAACCGATCGAGTTCATAAGTCAAGGGTCCACTGTAATTTCTTTACCTAAGAACAAAGCGGTGTGAGTGAGACTGGTGCTCCTGTGAGAAGTTGTTGTGTGCAGCCCTGGCTTCCTTATTTTTGGCACCCAAAACAGGAACTGGATTGCTCTGCCATCAGCAGTCTATTGGCAGATTATCAGAGTTTAGTCAGCAACCGTGATGGAATTAGAAAAACAGGCTTCCCTGGAAAGATCTCCTTGTCGGAAATTCTGACAATAGATCCCCCATCCAGAAAGATGAAGGGGGAGTGGGTCTTGATAAAAAGTGCTGGAGAGGTGCTGGAACAAGAACACAATTCTTTGAGCTCAGTTATCCGAGACGGGACCCAGCTGAAGCTTAGGGATTTAGCACTCAATTCCCAGCTGCTTACGTGTAAGTAAATAATTTCATCTGCCATTTGGCAATAAAGAATGCTCAAAATCTCAGCTTTTGTGATTTGTCAGTTTTCTCCCACAGAACCTATCACTGGGGTCAGAGCAGGGAAGAGAACACAGGTTCCAGGAAAATGATGTGGTGATGCTCTCACCCCATTTCCAGCAAGCCCTGTGCCCGGTATTCCTGCCAGCTCTCACAAGCTAACACCTGCCAGATAGCAAACCAGCCCTTGAAGTGGTGTCAGAGGAGCCTTCGTGGATGGCCTCATGGAATAAAGTTTCCCTGTTGTGGTCTCTGATGATTAGATTCATTTTTGGCTTTGGTCTGGCCCCTCCATTCAGAGCCCCCATGTCCCTCTGCATACCTGTGTATTTGCTGACCCCAGCCTCAGCAGCCACATCTCTGAGTGCCAGGATGCCCCGAGAGAGGTCACTGGCCCCAGGGTCCATCTCAATGAGGGCATCAGGCCCCACATTACCGTAGGCATAATTGGCAATGTAGATCGAGTAGCGTCCAGAGCCCTGAGGAGGAAGGGAAGGAGACTGGTGAGGAGGCCCATCCTAACCCATTCTGGCTTCCCCGAGAAATTACCTACCACCCGGGGTCATAGCTTAGGTTTGTCTCCAGGTCTGCTGCCAGTGGCCTTGCAGGCTGTGCCTGCTACAATCCCGGGGGACTTTTCACAAAGGCTGCGATGTGAGTGACACCTACCCACTCCAGTCCGACAACAAAGCAGCCCCGCTTCTCCCTCTTTCCCGTTCCAGAAGAACACATCCCTCCCTCTCCCCCACAGCCACCTTTTTATAGACAATTTTCTAATGTGCCTCCCTCCAGCTGAGCTCTCTCCAGCTGCCAGCCTGGGTAGCTGCTCAATAAATATTTGCTGATTGATTGATCTACCAGTTCCCATTATGCTGTCTCCCCCCCATTCAAGCCCTCTCCAGCCAAGTTAACAAGAACATTCCTGAGCCACCTCCCACTCTTCCTTCCTTCCCTGCGCTTCTCCATCTCTCTATTTTGGTAGCATGAGAGGCACAGGTTTGCAGGGGTCTTCTTCCCCTTCTATCCCTTCTTTTCTCTGTATTGCCTGAAAGAAGTATTTTATTGCTCCTGCCTCAATTTTATTCCCTTCTCTTTGCATCCAGGAGAAGCCCTGGGCACCAGCTCCTCTTTGCTACAAGCCATGCTCCTCTGAGTCCAAAGCACTGCTGATAAAAGATCCTTTTCTGTCTGTTACTATAATGGTGTTATTTCTTCAGTGGATGCCTCCTTCTTCCCAAGAGAGCCACACCATTTCTAAATCAGTTTTCTAGCTTTCGTCTCATCCTTTTCATCACCTCCTTCAAGTGAATACTTCTTGAGCTTCAACTATGTGCAGGGTGCTTTGCAATAAATGATCTGAAGACAAAGTCCCTGCCCTTAGGCGGCTTAGATTCTAATTTGATAGGTAAGTTATAAATAAAAAAGGACAGATCAGGCGTGGTTGAAAAACTGTGGTGAATGCTTAAATTTTTAAAAAATACTATAGTAAAAGACACTTTGCCATTAATCTCCCCCCAAATACTTCCCCTTGCTTTAAACACACATATCCTATTATGGTTCTTGACACTTTCAGAAGCAGTCCTGGAACCTTCCTTCATGAGTGTCTTTAGTTGTGTTGCTGCAGCTGCCTTCATGTCTTGAAGTTTTTTAATCACAACTTTTTGTTGTTGTTGTTGTTCAGTTTGGCCTTGGACTATGTAGTTCAGGCTGGCCTTGAACTCATGGTGATCCTCTTGCCTCAGCCTCCCGAGTCCTGGGATTACAGGCGTGTGCCACTATACTTGCCTTTTTTTTTTTTTAAATCACACTTTGTAAAGATTCTCATGAAAGAGGACTTCCAGAACAGCTTCAAAAAGGGGCCTGTATGATCATCTAAGGGTGTTTGAAATGAGGGGGAGTATTCTGAGGGGGATTAATGGTGATGTGTCCTTTACTGTAACAAAGCTTTAAGCTTTTAAACATTTATTATGTGTTTTGATTGCTTCGGGTAGTTGAGCTCGGGGCAACAAGATTGTGTTGTTATCCTGCTTCTTAGTTCCCTCGATTTACTTCTATATCTTATCCAGTGGCAGCATGAGAACCATGGTCCCACTTAACTGGTCACTGACTTTATACCTTCTTAGACCATTTTCTCTGGGAAGCTGATTAACAGCCACTTGCATTTGTGAGCCTGGTGGGTGAGAAGAGGGAAGAAGCTTAGGGTTTCTGGGGAGACCCAGAAGCATCAACAATCATACAAGTGCACAGCAGAGACTCTGTAGAGGATTTCTTGGGGGCTGAGAAGAGATGTTTCTAGCCTGGAGGTGGGCACCTCACTGTGAGAATTTCAGAAAAGGTTTTCCAAGAGGAGGTTCAGCCAGGTAAAGGGAAAGAATCTTTTGGGCAGAGACGAGAGGCAGATGCACATAGGGAAAGCATAAGCAGTTAATTCAATATTGCTGGAATGTTCAGTGTGAGGCAGGAAGCGTGAAGGGACGAAGTCGGAGAGGTGGTAAAACTGTTCCTCAAAGACTTAGCTGCTCCTTCTGTTTTGGTTATCTGGATCTCTATCTTGTGACTCAGGAATCTATGCTTTACAAGTCTTCTTAAAGTAGCAAGACCTGCAGCAGGCTTGGTGTCATCGGGGAGTAGGGTAGGCCCCACCCGGACCTCCTCCATTGGAATCTGCATTCGATCTGTGAGACACCTAGGAAAAACTAAAGCTTGAGATGCGCTGCTTTACAGCATGACTCACTGAGGAAGACAGGATGTTGAGAAGTCATTACCCATTGCGGAAGCTTCATACGTGTGTGTAGAATGATGGGATGAAGGACGAATGAGGGGCCCAATTGGAAAGTGCACTACTGTGAACTATTCATTCCTAACCGCCCAGCTGCTAGCAGCTCCCCAGCAAATGGGCAATTAAACTCAAATGGGCTGAAAGGCACTCTGCTAGAAATTAGGAGATTTATAGAATTCGGTTATACCTAGCTCCTTACGTCATTTACTGGAGTGATAAAATGGATAAACATAGATGTGTTATAGTTGTAGACTACTGCAGAGATTCACGTGTGAACTTGACCACAAAAATTCTAAAAGGGTGAGATGACTCTGGAGGGGGGAGGATGTTTCTCCAGAAACACTGGGGAATGATTCTCTTGCTTTAGCCTGTATCGAATCACGTCCTGTGAACACAGACGCTAGCCCCATCTCTAGAGTTTTGGATTCCGTAGGGCTGAGTGGGGGAAACCTCAAGAATGTGCATTTCTAATAAGTTCCCATGAAGTTGATGCTGCTGGCCTAGGAACCCCACTTTGAGAACTATTGGTCTAGGTCAAGTAGCCCGGGTCCAAGTCCAGCCTCAGCCCCTAACTGGCTCCATGCCCTTGGGCACATCCCTCAGTGTCTGCAGGCTGTGTCTCTGCACATGTTAAATGGGGATCAGATTCCCCCTGCTTCCTAGCAGGGTTGTTGAGAAGATGAAACGAGACAACGTATGTGAAAGGTCTTTGAAAAGATAAAAATGCTATATAAACATGAGGCATAATCATTATCGACCAGGGAATGCTTCTTGTAAGAGATCGGCTTTGAGTCAGATCCAGAAAGGTGAGTGATGAGGGAGCTGGAGATAGAGGACAGGAAGGTTTCCCAGGTCCAGGGCAGAGAATGAACAAGGGGCGGAAGGGAGAGGGGAAGCTGTGCTCTCAGCAGGGGCTGGGGCACTTGCCTGGTGCTCCTCAAAGTCCAGCAGGCATCACCATCACCTCCAGGGCGAGTTGAACCCCACGTTGCTGGGCCTCACCCCCAAAGCGCTGGATTCAGTGGGTTTGGAAGGCATCACGGGGCAGGACCTGTGAAATTTTATTTCTAACAACGCCGATGCTGCTAGTCTTGGGACCACACTTTGAGAAGCACTGACAAGGGAGAGGGACTGAAAGCCTGAGGCAGGGGCTGTGGGGGCTAAGCGGGGAGAATAGAGTGAATGGTGCAAGAGAATCTGTGGTTAGAAACCCATGTAATATCATGGAATCCAGGGTAGCAGAGAGGCAGACAGTTGTCTGCCTCATTTTAGGCAAGCAGGGCTTTATTCCTGACTTTGCCTACCACTTACGAGGTCAAGTTACTTAATTGCTCAAAGACTTAATTTTCGTATCTGTAGAGTGGGACAATGACAGCCTCTACTTCATAATAGGGTGACCGTAAGTATCATAAGATGAGGCCTGTAACACCTGGGGCACAGCTTGGCATTTGACTAGTTGGACAAACATGAAGTGATTTCATTTCCCACTTCCATCCCACCACTCGGCCTCCTCTCTGGCTTTGGCCTTTCCCTACGTCTCCCTCAGAGTTCCTGGCCCTCCAGAGACTGCCGAGGTGGTGGCTGGACTGGGAAGGCAATTCCTTCCCTGGTGGCAGACTGTCTGTGTAGGTCTTGCTCTAGTCCCTGGCAGATTGGGACGCTGGACTCTGGGGCTGAGCTGGAAGCAGGCAGCTTCTGAGTGCCACCCACTGTGCCCTGGTGCCAGGCCATCTTTTCTTCGTTTTTTAAATCTCACATGGTGTCTTTGTCCTGTGGTTAAATGTGTGGGTGTACAGATGACCTTGTTAGGACAAAGTGCGTTTCTTTATGATTAAGCTTCACACCTCTCCTTATAGTTCTCGGGGAAATTTCCCACTTGAGCCAGTATGGAAACTTGGTTCTGACCCAGGCAGTGGGCAGCCAGGAGGAGAGGGGAAGAAGCTACTAGCTGTGACCACACCTGATGCTTCTAGCACCACTCTCTCCAGGCTCTTTCCAGAGCTGCCTCACATCCCCTCCCATGAGGCAGAAGTCCAGGTGGCACAGATTCAGGTCAGGGCTAAATGTGGCTTCACAGCCCAGCTTGGCGTCTCCTCCCAGCACCAGCTTGTTAAGAAATAAATATTTATACCTGGCACCTGCTTTCTCCCAAGGCCTGGAGGCCCCTGCTGTGAAGATTCACGCTGAATCCCCAATCCCTTTGGTGCCATCTCAATCCAAAGTGAGCCCCACCCCGCCCCATCCCAGAATGGAGGCCAGAGGAGATCCCACAGGAGCAGAGTAGCAGCTGGGCCCCTGACGCAGTGATCACTGTAAAGCCACAGAGGTAGGTGGAGGGGAGCAGGTGACAGAAGGCATAAATCGTCTCTACAGTGAGCCTCTGGCTGTAGCTGGACCTGCTGGGACCCAAGCCCTGGGAGGCTCCCTCCTCCTAACACAGGGCAGATGGCTGTAGCTACTCTGGCCCCTCCAGGTTAGCCAGACTTCCCATCCACTCTGGACTGGCACCTCTGGGTGGGGCACTAGCAGTACCCAGGGCTGTTGCTGGGAGTCGTTGATGAACTAATGTTCTTGTATGTTCAGAAAACTACTGTTGTCCCCACGAGTCCTCTGTTATGCCTTCATTTGTTCCATAAACATTTACAGAGGGCCCATGGCTCAGTGCCTGGCACATAGGAGGTACTTAATAAATGTTATCGTGAATAATGAGCTCAAGATTTAGAACTAGAGGATTCTGCTTCATATCCTAGCCACACCAACAATCTATTCTGAGTTCCAGGTCAGTCATTGCTCCAAGAGGTGCCTCAGTCCCCTCCAGTGTCCAAAGGACACAATGATGACTTCTCTGGCCACTTCCTCACTGGTCACTGGTAGGGCCACATGGGAGGAAAGATTTGAAAGGACTGTAACTCATCCTGCCAGGACCCTCTTTGTGGAAGACACAATGGTGGCTAGTTACCATTCTGTCAGGGGACGTCAACCTCGTGGCACCTCTGCTGGCTGTTACATTACTTTGTGCCTTCTTGCTTCCTTCCAGGCCCCTATACTCACCGTTCTGTCCACACAAGCCACAGAGCGTCCAGCAAAGAGGCTGGCTACACCACGGGCCATGTTGACCTCGTCACTCAGGATGTCTTCCCATCGGTTATTGCGGAACTTGAACAACTTGTCTGTGTACGTGGCCACCCCTGGAGAGAGAAAAGAAAGGAGGGCTGGTGGACAGTGCACCAGGGTTCAGGTTTAACTTCTGGGTATGTCCCTAGCACCCACCACAAGGTGGTTAGGACCAAAGCAGATGGGCCATCCGCAGCAAGGAAGACCTCAAGCAGCTGAGATTCTTCTGTTTGGGGTACTCAGGTGTTTCCAGTTGCAAACTCAATTCTCTGGGAGGTCTGGGAAAGAGGCAGTGGGCTTAGGGGGACAGCATGGGACAGTGGTTATAAACTTGGGGTTTAGAGTAAATGAGTCTGAATAATAATCTCAGTTCTCCCCAGATTCTCCTTGTAGGTTCTAGACTTGGGGCAAGTTGCTTAGCCTTTCTGAACCTCAGTTTTCTTATTTGTAATAGGCATGACGATGATAACTATATTCAAGTTTACTGCAAGGAATAAATGAGATGACACACATTAAAGGTTTGTCACAGTGCCCCCCCATGGTAGCTGTTATTAGGCAGAAATGATTTTCCCATTTTGTAGATGAACTGCTCTCCAAGGTTCTTCCTTTAGAGACACCAGTTCTGCAGTGCAGGGGTTTGGTAAGAGTCGGAGATTCTGTGAGTGAGTGTGCATGTGAGAGCAAGCGTGTGATTGTGTGAGCATGGGAATGAGCTTGTGGCTGAGGGTGCAAGGATGGTAATGCATGAGGCTGAGCGTATGTAAGAGTGTGTGAGTGTGTCAGAATGTATGTAGGAATGAGTGGAAGGGAGGTGAGTGCAAGTGTGGGCGTGCAAGTGAGAGCTGTGTACAAATAGCCCCCAGGTGGCTCAGTCCAGGCAAGGATGAAAAGTTTGGTTTCTGAGGGGCCTCGTCTGAGATCTCCCGAGAACAGGGGCCCCATGGGGCCCCAGGATCATAGGTGGGGTCAGGGATGCAGGCCAGACACAGGACCATGGTGCCCAGAGCAGAGCCATCCTGTCTCTGCGTGCACTTGGGGAGCTGAGGCTCTGAGCTGCCACGGAGGGGAGGCCACTCACAAAGCAGACCTGAGAGCTCTGTGGGGTGTGTGTAGTGGGGGGTTTTCTGTGCAGCCATAGATACGGGTCTGCATGAGCTGTTCTGGCCTGAGAAGGCTGCTCTGGGGGAAACTGAGGTGCCGGTAAATTCTTTATCTGCTTCTAGCCTTAGTTTCCTCATCTGAGAATTGTGGATAATAGTAGTTGTCGTTGTTGTGGGAATCACCTAGAAAAATACTTGTGGCCCTGGCCACAGGTCTGGCCGGGCGGGAGAAAACAGTAACAGCTTTGTAACACTGTAGGTCCACAGCCCCTCTGAAATCCCTTGGGGCCCACTATGTTTAGAAATTTAGATTTTTTTCCTTCAAGTTTTAGAAAGGTAGCACGGCATACACTATTGATTATATAACACCCCAGCAGGGACTGGGGGTGGCACCCTATAATTAAACACATCAATATTTCTGCAGTGAAGCATGAATATTCACATTAAATAGGATAAATAAAGCTTATAAATAGCTCATATCAGCTCAGGACAAATTTTGCTATCCATTGAATTTCCCACAAACTAAAAAAGCACTTAAGGCTTCCCAAGAATTTTGGGTTCCAGGACTGGGCAGAAGGGATTTGGACTTGGGCTGCCCTTTTCACAGAGGCTCTGGGGTAGGCGCTGGAGTGTCATCACTTCCAGGGCCACTAAGGACGGCTCCTGCAGGCTCCTGCTTCTCCAACCTTCACCAACAGCGAGCAAGCTTTGCTCATCTCTGTCAATTCAGGACCTCCTCAGCCGGCACGGTCCCCTTCCTGAGCGCCTTGGTGACACTCCAGCAGAGCTAGGTCGGGAGAGCTTGGCTGCCTGCAGCTGGGATCTGCAGGGCTCTGAGGAACACCTCTGGATTAAGTGGGAGAAATTTCTGGAGACATCAAGCTTCTGTTTCAGTTAGAGGAGATGACAAGCAGGTCAGGGGGACACTATACCCCTCTGTTTACCTCATCATCCCTAGTTCTTCCTATCCAGCCAGGGCAGTGTTTCTGAAAGGGTGATTTGTGGGACCATGGTCTCTGTGAGCTGCCTAAAGAGAGGATTCCACTAAGTGGGAAGGGTAGGGGAAAGGGAATCAGGGAAAAGAAAACAATATGAGAAAATGAAAAAATGGAAACAAAGTGTTTGTAAATGGGAGGGGAGGAGGGGGTGAAAGGAGGGCAGGGACAAGGGAAAAAATGAGAACCAAGACCTGTCATGTAAAGGTACAAGATCCCAATGATGAATGTAACTGTACTGTGTACCTAAAATGTACCAATAAACTCAATAAAAAGAAGGAAAAAAAAAAAAAAAGAAAGGATTCCATGTTCATCTGAGTTTGGGAAAGACTTTGTACTTGCCCAACTCTTGGAGATTCTCCACAGACATCAGTCTATTAAAACTTTGAAAAGCTGTAAAATTAATTACCCGCTTAATGTTATTGAGTCCAGCCTTTCTCAAACACACTTGGTCAGGGAGCCCCATTTTGAAAATCACCTATTAATACCCTGCAGAGCCAGCATCGTTCTTAGAAAGTTGCTGCTGTAGGGAGCTGGTGTTTGAGCAGGCTCTGGGCTTTTTGGTCAGAGGAATCTGGGTGCCCTGTGCTCTGGGCCTCACCCCTTGCCAGCCTCCTGGCTTCTGAGCTCACCAGGGATGCCCAGAAGAATAAACTAATTAAGGTAAAATGTGCAACAGCAGTGCAGAGCCTTGTAGATCATAAATGGGAACGGTAAAATCAATGGCAGCCCTTCTGTAGGCAGAGGCCCGGAGGCCTGGGCGACAGGAGGGATGGGAGCCTGTGATTTAGGAAGAGCAAATGCGCTGGCAGCTGCAACCTGGGTAATTAGGTGTGTCAGGAAGACAGATAAACAGCGAGCCGTGTGGGTCGATGGCACAGGCAATAAACACCCAGCACCGGCCCCTGGCCCGTGTCCGAGCAGAAGGCTGCCCTGTGGCTCCGTGTAGCTGCACTCTGCCCCGAGCACCTTCACTGAGATGGAGGAAACTGCTCAGGAAGAGGAGAGGCTATGAGGTACAGAAGAAAGGGGCTCCGTTGAGTCCCTGGAGGAGACTCTGAGAGGACACAGGCCCAAGAGAAACAGGAGGGTGCTCAGGGCACGGCAAGGGGCTTGGAGGTCACAGGTCTGTGAGAGGCAAGTCTGGGAATTCCTAGTGTCATCCTGATTCTGGAGTCTTTGTCGTCAAGGATCCCTGAAGATCCCCGAAACCAGTGGGACCATCGCTTGCTGTCGGTGGCCAGTGGGAAGGCTTGGTGGGTGGGGTTCAGGTGTCTCCACACACTGCCTGGTGCCACACACTAAGCCAGGTGCTGTGCAGAGCCACAAAGAAGCAGTGCCTCTGCCCTTGCTCAGGATGCTTGTGGTCCATCAGGAACATAGGGGTGGGGAAAGAAGACGCCTTGAAATGGTAGTAAAACTAGTAATCCTTAACACTTCTGCAGCCGCCCCCTTTTCCATATTGTAGGTTGAACCCAAGGGCCTTCACACTGAGCTACATGCCCAGCCTTGTTTAAAATTTAAGATTTTGAGATAGGGACCTGGTAAGTTGCTCAGTTGCTTAGGCTGGGCTGGAACTTGTGATCTTTTTGCCTCCGCTTCCCGGAGTGCTGATATTACAGGTGTAATCTCACCCAGCACGTAGCACTTTCCGTTTGTCCAACACTTCACATATATTCACTCTCCACCCCACAAAGTGGATGCTTTTATACCTATTCTACAGATGACGTACCTAAGATATGAGACAAAGGAACTTGCCTAAAATCCCACAGAGACCAGTGGGGCAAGACTGGACAATACACTAGGACAGAGATGGCGAACCTTTTAGAGCTTTCAATGATACAAACAGCCTGCTGCAGTAAGTGTGCCATAGGTTCGCCACCACTGCACCAGGAGGTATGAAATCAGGATGAAAGTGGTCACTAAACAGGGAGGGCTCTCTGAAGGAGGAAGCACCTGAACTAGGGCTTGAAGGGTTGGAGTAACAATAACTCCTTGGTAGATAGCACTTAGTACGGTCAGGCTCTGCATGAAATACTTTTCCTTTTCATTTCTTTTGTTCTATTTTCTTTGGTCAGAGGAGTCTTATTCTTTCTTTTTTCAACAACCACCCCATCTAAACGCTAGAATCCCATTTTACAGATGCAGAAATTGAGCAGTACAGAGGTAAAGTCAATTGCTCAAGATCACAGAGTACATAAATGGAGACAGATTCAAAGCCAGATCTTTGCAACTCCAAAGCCTAGACTGAGCACTGAACCCTATAGCTTAGGGAGGGAGGACGGTGAGAAGCAGGTGCAGAGGGGATCCTGAATTTGCCTAGAGGATGTGTAGAGGTGGAGAAAGAGAAACAGGGCAGAGCTAGGAGACCCAGTAATCCCAGGACTGAGGTTGAAGAGGTCACTGTGGCTTCTGGTCCCAGGAACATCAGGGGGACCGTGTTTGCAGAAGGGGTAGTTGGCAGCAGAAGGGGTGAGCAGTGGGTGTATCGGCACAGAAGGAAATGTACCAGGTGGCCACTTTTGCAGGAGCAAGTTCTGCGCGCAGAAGGCTGGAGCAAAAAGGCAGAAGGGAGTGGCTGGGTGTGGCAGTGGAGCATTTTGGGGACAGTGACTAAAGCCAGGGTGTTGGGCCAGCTGTGTGTACTAGCGTATGTGTGGGTGTGGGGGGACATAGCTTGGCTTCAGACAGTTTGAGGTGCTCATTAAGTGGTCAAGAACAAAAGAGGACACTGGAGATGAAGGATGGCAATTTGCAGAACGGAGGTTAAGGCAGGAGAAAGGGAAAGACCAAGTTGTGTACGTCCAGGTCAGCTTCATTTAGGGCACAATAGGGAGGAAAAGGAACAGAGAAAGAGGAGTTCTCAGACAAGGGGAAGGGTTTTCTTCAAGAAGCTTAGAGTAATGGTGTCAAGTCAGGCAAACAGTGCTTGATTTACCACTCCAATGTCCCTCCATACCCAGAGGGTGTTCTGGAGCC